GTGTTTTCTCACTCGTTAAGGAGAAATGCGATTAGTTCGACGATGTGGGATTAATTACGTGGTGTTTGCGGATTTAAAATTAACAACAGTTCAGCTTCGAATTACCCGATTAATTTTTAAGGGGGAATTTTTCGTTATTCAGTACATATTTCTAAAACCTCAGCGGGTAGGGGGGTGCTATGTAATTAGGTTTATAGTTCTACCTGCTTCAAGTATAGTCCTATTTGCGTCATATATTGATCTATACACTTCACTTATAGTCTTTCACGTGTATTACTTGTGTTCTTTATATCTGTTGTCAGTTTTATAAAAATCATATATATGTCACACCATGAACTGTGATATGGAGTCATATATGTCATATATGTCACTTACACCATGAACTGTGATATGGAGTCATATATGTCATATATGTCAATTACACCATGAACTGTGATATGGACTCATATATGCCATATATTATGTCAGCTATACTCTGAACTCGTGATCTGGAGTCATATATGTCATATGTCAGCAATACTCTGAACTCTTAATCTGGAGTCATATATGTCATATGTCAGCAATACTCTGAACTCGTGATCTGTAGTCACTAATACTCTGAGTCATGTAGTTAAACATATTTTTCATAGTTCAGTTAGTGTCGGCCAATAATGTCCTTTGTATTTTTTATTTTGTCCTCTATATTTAAACAATTATTGTCCTCCCTTATTAAGTTACTTTCCTATATGTCCTATTAGGCTTAGCTATTGTCCTTCATGGTTATTCAAATGTCCTCAATACTTCAGCTACTGTCCTCTGTCCTACTAGGTTTAACAACTGTCCTTCATGGTTAATATCCTCATTATTTCAGCTAACCTCCTATGTCCTACTAGATTTAGCAATTTCTTATTCTGATAGCTTCATGAAACCTATGTAAAAATGGTGAAAGCTAAAAGCGCTCCCGTCAGGCTCTGTGCAGAAGGTCTAGGGGCGGGGGGGGGGGGAGGACCCAGACGAAATAAAACCATCAGGTGGATTCAAATTACCGTGAACACCTGTAATTAAGAGAAAGGTAAAAATGTAATTAAATGTACCTTGGATTACACTAGAAGGGCGCACCAAATTGTGAGAGATCGGGCGAGTAATTGCATCTGCTCATTTTAAATGGTGCGTTTATTTGCGCTTTTAAAAAAATTAAAATTGCGTTCGGTTAAATCGGATTAAAAAGGGACTGCATGGTCAAATGTAGGGCTACTCTTGAGGTTTAAAGGTCATTCGTTGAAGGTCATGACCTTGTGTTGAAGGTCATGTCAATGACATGCAGGTGCTATATTTCACAATGTTTACTTGTGCTCACAATTTGTGCTATCATTCAATTTAAAGACACATTGCACTAATGTTTTCAATTTTACAAGGTGAACTATCATTCTCTATTATATTTATTTATTTATAAAAATGGCTGTTAACTTTCTAGACTCTTAGGCAAAACATGAAACAATTTAATAATAAATAGCAGCTCGTTCTATCAAAACATCTAATTAAAATCTATTTTCGTTTTCTCTGTATTCATAAACTATAATACATCAAGGTATTCAATATTGCATTTGAAATATTTCTAACATTTGATTCTAACATGCTTGCTAAGACAAGGAAATTCAGAAAACTAAATCCGCAAAAATAATTGGTTTGGCGTCGATTCTAAATAATGCCAATTGGCTTAATGATATTAACATTGGGTCATTCCTAAAAATAAAAAATAAAATTTAAATTTAAAAAAAAAATAACTCGTAAATATCAATAACTGTATTAGTACTGAACATTTACTGTATTAATATTATTGATATATATCTGTATGAACTCTAAACTATCGCTTACAATAAGAAATAACATTGATATATCTCTATATTAGCAATCATTTACAGTAAGAAACAATATGGATGCCTTTATGTTTTAACTCTAGACAAGCATTGACTTTTCGTAAGAAACCGCAGCAATGCTCACTGATATGTTTGTCGTTTCAATGAAATGCGATCATCCCAGTTCTAGGCATCGCTGTAAATAATTGATGGCTGTAAGATGATACCAAGGCTTCAAGCTAATCCGCTTCGTGGCTTTGGGTTACCAAGATTTCAATTTAGAAATTCTACCCCGGGGGTCAGGACGTGGAGTGGGGCTCACACGTAGAGTAGATGGTTGGGAGTTATAAACAAGTATATATATATATATATATATATATATATATATATATATATATATATATATATATATATATATATATATATATATATATATGTATATATATATATATATATACATATATATATATATACATATATATATATATATATACACACACATATATATATATATATATATATATATATATATATATATATATATATATATATATATATGTATATATATATATATATATATATATATATATATATATATATATATATATATATATATATATATTACTCCCTCCCTCAGCCTGATACTTTTTATCTATCCAACTCGCCCCCCCCCACACCCCCACCACCCCCGTTTAAATCACCTCTCTCAATTAATTCCATCATTTGTCCACATCTTCATTATCTTACATCCAACGTTTAAAATACCTGCCATTAAAATTCTCAATATGGCCAACACATTGAACCATTAAGTCCATTAAATATCTCAATATAAACCACACACACAAAACCCACATACATATGCAATGTAATGTAAAGTCTACGAATCATTAAGAAAATAATTCCCATTAAAATGTGTACTCCACTAATGGAACCCACAGACCAAAAACACACTAACATGTTTTCTGCCATTAAGTCTCCAATCTAAATTCGTCTTTATAATTTACTTGCAGCGTATTTTTTTTCTAACTCTATCCTATCAAAACATACTCGTGTTTATCCCTTTAAAAAGTTTTGAACCTAATCAATTGATTTTAATCACGTCTTTTTCTACTTCCCGTTTTAAAATTATTTTTTTTTATACAGAGTTTGATTTTCTTGTGAATAATGTATCGCCTTGGGCTTAACGTGGTGGGCAGGGTAGGGGGGTGGGGGCTGCGGGCTTCATCAGTTGCCTAATGATCCGTGGCTAACCGATTTTAAACTGCTCTGACTAGCACTAGACCGGAGCTGACTTGGTAATACAGCACAGACTGTAGATTGCTCGACTGTAACACGGCGGGGAATGATTTGAAGAATGTAACAATGTTACTGCTTATAAATTAACTGAAACGTTTGTCTAATATAGGCGGCAACCTATAGACACAGGCACACACACACACACACACACACACACACACATATATATATATATATATATATATATATATATATATATATATATATATATATATATATATATATGTATATATATATATATTTATTTATTTATTTATATATATAATATATTTATATATATTGTGTGTGTGAGTTTTGTATGTTGTGTTCTGACTTCTCTTAAAGGACTTTGACGTCAGTAAAAAAAAAAATTGTCGAATAATGTTTATTATATACGTTTTCCTGTGAAATTATTATTTAATGCTAATGGGAAATATTTTCTATTAAAATAAAAAATTCTATTACCGTTTATGTTTGCTTTGATAGTTTTGTCTGATAGATAAATGTTGATGACGAGTTTCGTCACCACTTCGAGGGCTATTAATGCACTTAAATCGATTTAGTCAACTCGATTTAAGGCTAGTTGCTTTACGTCATTACATCCTGCGTTTCTTCCAGGGATCTCTTCGGGGGGGGGGGGGTGCTTAGCGCCCCCCCCCCCCCCCGAAAAAATTCTACCACCCCCCGAACGAAATGAAATTGATATAATTTATATATAAAATATATACTTTTAACAGTGTCCACCCCCCCCCCCCCCCGTAGAAAGTCTACCGCACCCCCCCCCCCCCCCGAAAATTTCAAGTGCCCCCCGGAGAAAAAAGTCTGGAAGAAACACTTATTACATCCCAGTTATAGAAATTGGACAGTTTACTAATACATTTGTGACTCCCAGTATTTTTATTATTTTTATTGTAGTGACTGTGGTACAAAAATATTGGACTATATCATTGGGAATTAGTCTCATCTTTTTGTACTTGTTCTGTTCGAATTTTGGTAACTTTGTGTGGCGTCTATCTTGTGAGGACTTTCATTGTGTTTTGGGGAAACTTTCTTTCATCTCCTTCCTTCGAACTTCTTTAGTCGTGTGCAGTAGCGTAGCGAGGGGCGGGTGGGGGGGAGGGGAACATATGTCCCCGGGCGCCGACCTTAGGTGGCGCCAAAATGGGTTGGAAAAATAAATTGAAAGCTTGAGGGGGGGTGTAAATCGAAAAGTTTGTCCCCGGGAGCCGGGAAGGGTCGCTACGCCCCTGTTCGTGTGTAGTACACACGTTGTTTTGTTGGCTTCTCGGCATATGAAGGGATAATGAAGGGATGATTTGATCAGCACGTTCTCTATCAGGAATCAGGTGTCCATCAAAGTTGGATTTTAGGATTTTAAAAGCACATTTATAACATTGAAATGTAGATATTCAATAGTGTGTATTCCTTGATCTCTATAGAAGTTACATCATTTGGCTTGAGCCTCGTAGAAGCTACAACATTTGTCTATTTTTCTAGTAAAATCTGAATAATTGGTCTATTGTCTCGTAGAAACTACATGATTTGGATATTTTAGAACCTACATAATTTGTCTATTGTATCGTAGAACCTACATCATTTGTCTGTTGTGTCGTAAAAACTACATCATTTGTCCATTGTCTCGTAGAAAATACATCATTTGTCTATTATAGAATGTACAACATTCGAAACTGTATCGTAGAACCTCCATCATTTGTCAATTGTCTTGTAGAACCAACATCATCTGTCTATTGTATCGTAGAAAATACATCATTTGTCTATTGTAGAATGTACAACATTTGACTATTGTATCGTAGAACCTACATGATTTGTCAATTGTCTTGTAGAACCAACATCATTCGTCTATTATATCGTAGAACCTACATCATTTGTCTATCGTCTGGGTCTTATTTTCATCTCCGTGAAGGTAGCCGACTCACGATAACCCGTTGTCGGACACCACGTGATGCCCTTGCCGAACTCCTTACTCCCCCAGACACCGTTCAGGTTGGAGTCCTGACATTTGCCGTACCACCAGGCTCCACGGTAGATTCTGGCGCAGCTGTCGCCGTCTAGGGCGTCGTTGTCCCTGTCGAACGTGCTGAACATTTCATTGTCATGTTGCATTTTCAGAGCATTCCCAGCATTCCCAGAGTAACCTTTGACCTTTAGCCTATAACCATCCGACTCTGAGGACAATTTAAACGAGGCGTATTTCGCAAAGTAGTCAGTGCCGTTATATTTGAAATCGACCCTAAGTTCGTGAGGCGTGGACATGACCAACTCGTGAATTTTCTCGTTGCCCAAATAGAACTCCCCGTTTTCGAAATCTCCAAAGCCGTGTTTGTATTGCTCCCAGCCCCGGTAAAAATGCAAGTGTCCGTTAAATCTTCTCTGGATCAGCGTCCAGCCTCCCCCGTCGGTCTTAGTGTCACACATCACCTGAAATCCGTGTGACAAAATGACCACAGGCCTTGATGTCGAACTCAGCTGCATCTTACATGTTGTAGTCTCAAACGTATCAATGTACAGAGCCCTTCTGATTCTTGCCCTACCTAAAGAGTTGTTTGAATACATATATATAAATATATATATATATATATATATATATATATATATATATATATATATATATATATATATATATATATATATATATATATATATATATATATATATACATATACATATATATATATATATATATAAATAAATAAATAAATAAATAAATAAATAAATAAATAAATAAATAAATATATACATATATATATATATATATATATATATATATATATATATATATATATATATATATATATATATATATATATATATATATATATATATATATAAAGTTTAAACATTTCAGGACAAATGATCTCAGTGCAAAAAAGTATAATTCTGAAAAAATATCACCTTAGAAAATGTACTAACTTTATATCACAACGCAATGTAAAACAGATAGACTAAAAGAAGTTACAGAAAGTTAATTTCCTTAAGAGATCATTCAAACTATACGCACCTACGAAATTATCAACCTCTTCCATTTCAACCAATTAGCCAATCATAAACACATGTATAATCATCGGCCTTCAACATTTTAAACACTAAACAAATTATACGCACCTGTATAATCCTCGGCCTTCAACATTTTAAGCAATAGGCAAACTATATGCTCCGGTATAATTATCGGCGTTCAACATTTGAAACATTAGCCATATTATACGCACCTATCGAATCATCGGCCTTGACCATTGAAAACACTAAGACTAGGCAGAAAACGACGGACATTGTGAGTAGCATCTCCTTAATGAGCGGTGGTGACTTCCCTTTTGTTTTTTTTTATTAAACGAGGGCATGATAATACAGTGGCGTACCATTTCATAACATTCACTCTTTAGGGCAAACTTGTACCCCAAAGCAAATGTTAACTAACGTTGTCTGATGGAAATAATGTATACTTAAATAAAAATTATTAGGATAAAATGATGTAAAATTTTCTATCAAATTCCAGTCAACTTATTTAAAAATTTAAATGTGATTTGTATGTCGGTGACTTTTGTTTATACAAAAATCACATCAAACTCGTCCATCAGTGACAATGTATATACTTTACAAAGTGGAGGTCTGACGACATTCACCTAATTATCTGAACTGTGATTATTCATGAAGAAATAAAGTGTTAGAATATTGAACCTGCGGACAGAGTGTGCTTCTTTAAATCAGGTGGGTTGATTGGCGCCAAATAAGGTGTCCGCGGTCTAGAGGCGGGAATTCCTAAGTCGAGGGTGAATACCTGCAGACAGGTGGTTGTACACGCCTCTGTCGCATTTGGGTGCCGTGAGGAAGAGGTCGCACAAGACCTAACAAAGAAGGTCACATATGCTGCTGATACTTGGTCCCACACACACACACACACACACACACACACACACACACACACACACACACACACACACACACACACACACACACAAACACACACACACATACATATATATATATATATATATATATATATATATATATATATATATATATATATATATATATATATATATATAGGCCTATATATATATATATATATATATATATATATATATATATATATATATATATATATATATATATATATATATATATATATAGGAGCCGCCCTCGTATTTAGGGAGCAAACTACTCAAAATAACACAGTAATAATTACACCATCTGTTGTAAACTAACACTAAAACAGCCCACGTATTTGTAAACTTGACAACCTCGGCAGCAGTGATAAATTGATCCGTTATGATAGAGATGTCAAATTTTAAAACGATTTAATCACCAAGTACTACCCAGTCTGTTCGATGACTTTTATTTCTTTTTTAAAAATGTCATCAGTTAGGCTTTGCTCTTTTATTACTTTTTTCTTGCTCCTAGTGGCGCTTGAGTTAATTTAGTTGCGAAAAATACGAATGAATATATATATATATATATATATATATATATATATATATATATATATATATATATATATATATATATATATATATATGTATGTATGTATATATTTATGTATATAGTTATGTAAACATTTATAAATATTTCTATGTATGTATATATATATATATATATATATATATATATATATATATATATATATATATATATATATATATATATATATATATATACATATATTTCTGTGTATAAATATATACAGCTATTACACTGCCTAGGTTTATAGAGCTGTGCACAGGGACACTACGTTCAATATGAACATCATACAATCCAGATTGAATAGACGGCTAAAGTTCTGTACCGTGCGTCATGTTTTCTTCATGAGAAGTCGTTAGCTTTATCCATCTTCATCACCCTCAACACCCTCCAATGCGGCACCACCCGCGTCCAACAACACGCCCCAACCGCGCATTAATCCCGCTATATTTCCAGTTTATGTTGGTTTCGTGGGGGTCCGCACTACCCCACACAACACCTTGTGGACGAGTTTTAATGCCACACAGGACCAGACCAGGCGCGGGTCGAACTCTCCAGAAAACCGGACAATTGTTACCCCCGCTCGACCTGTGAGACATAAATAGACGGCACGGTGGTTTTATCGTCTGCAATCTCCATAAACAAGACGCAGACAGAGTGTGATTGGCGCCGGTCGCCGGATGTGAAAATATCCTTCGCTGATCAATTCTAATTTTGGCCAAATATTTTCTTCGATGACCGTTAAGAACAGTTGATGGTCAATAAATTTCAATAAAACTTTGTGATTTATATCGAAAGACGGGGTTACCCTTATGTCTGTTGACTTCAGCTATCTAACACGGCGGCGTAGTTTCAGGAGGTCGAAAAATGAGTGTCTCGTAAATTTAGTTTCCTAAGGCGGCTTTATCAGGTGTTTCATACCGTCGTGGTGATGGAGTTTAATGTCACGAGGTTTGGTCTCAACTCGTGGAACATTAATTCTGTCAGAATTATGGGTCATTCAGTCGGGTCGGGTCAGATAGTTGTGGGTCATCCAGATGGGACCTGTCAGAATTATGGGTCATCCAGATATTTTATAAGGAATTTGATTTTTTTAATGGAAGAAAATAAAGACGTCGCAAAACGAATAATATATTTTAAGCTTAATAATTAACACACAGCTTCATAATGAAGTATTTTACTAAATCATGTTTACACTCATCAGTAGATGTAATACAGAAGTGTTTTTAAAATTTAAGACATTTCAGGCAAAAAAAATACGACTCTAACAAACTGAAACCTAGGAATTAGGAATACTTTATCCCACATGAAACAATACAATTTAAGACACACAATGATATAATAAACAACATTAAAGATCTTACCAATACAACTTGTTATTCTTGTTTTACATGTAACAGTATGCAAATACATTTTAACCGTACCCAAATTGGAAAAATTACCATAAAAATAACATACTAGACTATTGTAAACACGAGTCAAAACAATGTTTGACACAAGTTTGACACAAATACGTATCTTCTTAACATGGTGCAACTCATTTATAATTCTCCAATAAACAGCAAACGGTTTCAATCTTTCTCTAAATAATATCATATACAGATACTTCACCATTAGACAATAACACACAACAATAACACTTGCTGTAAATAACATTATCCAGAGGACACCCAGTACTAAACAATAACACAGAACCCAGTTCTCGTCATTAGCATAGACCGTTCTACTCTCTACCCTACAGGGACATAACCACTCAATAAACGATTTCACGGGAGATAACTATTCTGCTTGTGTCAGGGGACAAAACTCAGCCGGGACAAAATTATCCAGAGATCGAAGACAATTGATTTGGGCAATAATTTCACAAGCAACAATAGTGTAGAAATGAGACTGTCTGAAACCGCATGCGATAACTAAGTAATAATAAAACTACTTGGTCTTTGAGACAAACATAAACATTGAGCCATCTTAAAATGACTGGATTAAGTTTCCTGTAATAAAGTTGAGGCTGTAACTTAAAGAAATTATAAGCTCAAAACACCCTAAGCTTGAGCTAAAGTTTGACTCTGTCTAATTCAGGAGCTAAAAAGTCGTGAAAATAACGTCTTGTTAAAAGTTAAAATAGAATCGATATGGTCGGGTAGTTTTTGGTGATTAGATTTTCAATCACCCCAGATGCTAATTCCATTATAACATTGCATGTTGACCCCATCAGAAATTTTCTTGTTTCTGTTAAAAAACAAAATGCAAATGAGATTTTAGTTTAGTCATCTGCTCATCTGTCCACATCCGTCAACACTGGTCCACATGATCCACATTGGTCCACATCCTCCACATTGGTCCACATAATCCACATTGGTCCACATCATCCATATTGGTCCACATAATCCACATTGGTCCACATAATCCACATTGGTCCACATCATCCATATTGGTCCACATAATCCACATTGGTCCACATCATCCACATTGGTCCACATCCTCCACATTTATTCCGCCCTTAAACACATTCGCATCACACTTTTAGACCACTTACCCACTATTTTCCAATTTCTACAACAAAGTATAAATATACATTTTACTAAATTGAATTTTACAACTTCTTATCTACAAATTAACAATTAAATAATTTTGCAAAAATCTAAGCAATTGTATCTGAACATTCTCAGCTTCTAAAAATAGCAGGGGCTAAAAGTTCTAAATATAGACGGTATAATGGAACCAGTGTGTTGAAATACCTTATAGATTAACACGGCTTATTATCTCGCAGCGATTAAATATTAATGCAAAAATGTGCTGCGGTGTTAACTTCGGTTAAAGCTGGCGTCGTGAGTGTTGGTTTTATTGAGCGTCGGATGTTGATTCTTATTTCAACAGCATATCAAATTTCGCTGGATGTTGATATTTTTTATATTTATTTCACTAGTATTAAAACCTTAGGTTTACACATGTTTCATGTGATAATGTTTACATTTGTTTTAGTATTGTCCTGTTAAATGTGTGTATGTGTTGTTTTGACA